ATCACTGTGGGAAATTGTAGCAGCAGGAACACTTAGGGACTGGAACAGCAGCTAAGAACTGAGTGCTCGCATCTCAGACCAAACAAGAAGCAAAAGCAAAGTCAGAATGGTGAGAGTCTTCTAACTCTCAAACCCACCCTTAGTGACATACTTCCTTTACAAGGCCACACCTCCTAAACCTCCCAAGATAGTAACACTAATTGAGGACTAAGTATTCAAATGCCATAACCGCTGGGGAGCATCTCATTCAAATTACCACAAATGTAGCATAAATCCTTGTTAAAATAACACCAATTGTCAATATAATTCTAGTCACTGAGAAAGCTAATATTCTATGTACCTTACTCTATAATAGATTCGTAACACAAATAACTGGAAGAAAATATGGGTGCACTTCTATAAAATGTGGTTGTAGGGAAAGGCTAACTATGACTCTAAATACAGATACCTAAAAAAATGTTGATACATTTGACTACATGAAAATAAAAAAATACTTATAAAGAGGGAAACAGAAACAAAGCAAAAACAAATGGCCAAACAAAAATAGAGAAACTGTGATAAAAGGTGAAAAAGACATAAATGTATGGGTATATTGATACGTATATACACACGACCACATACACACACACACACACACACACACACACACACACACATTTATCAAATGGCTTTAAATGTGAAAATACAATCAAATCTACTTATACTAAGAATTACGACAAATCAAAACTGCCTTATGAAGCAGTTCTCATAGATCAGGTTGGGAAGAATTTAAAAACTTAACACGATGTCCACGTAGTTTTTGCCCTGGGGAAACTGCCACTCTTGCACATTGCTAACGAGAAAGTAGATGGGTGTTGAGGAAATTGTCAGTCTCTAACTATTGCCCCTCATGCAGGGAATTTGTCAGTATCTAACAACACCAAGCATGCCTTTTTGTTTCAAGAATCTTACTTGTGGGAACTTACCTTGGAGACACACCTCCAAGTCTGTAGAGAGACGAAAGCCCAAAGATTTTTCCCTGCAGTGCTCATTGCAGCTACAAGTATTGCAAACATGCCCAAAGGTAGGTTGGAGTTGACATAAATGGTAGTAAACCCACATAACAAAGCATTGTGCAGCTATAACAGTAAGGAAGAAGTCTATAAACATGTGGGAAAGCTTCCCAGGTATATTACAAGCTAAAAATATAAAAGTGAAAAAGGAACTACAAAAGAATTAACTATAGCATGCTGCTTTTGCATGAGGAGAGGGGGTTTTTAAAGGAATATGTTTGTAGATATACATACTTGCATGTAGTAACTGTAAAAAAAGAAAAAGGCCATAAATTTGAAGGAGAATGGGGATGAGATAGGATTTGGAAGGAGGAAAGAGAAGAAAAAAATGTTGTAATAAGTTATAATCTCAAGTTTAAAAAAGAGGGTAAAACAAGCAAAATATTACTCTTAACAGAGTGAGTAGGAATAGGCCAGAGGGAGAGTCCACAGGGGTGGATAGAAGGCTCTGACTTTATCTGAACAATTGTTCTGTGCATTTTGATTTTTCAGTTGTTAATGTTTTTTTAATTCAACAACATTTCTTTAAAAATAATATAACTTAAGGAAAATTGAGGGGGCAATCCTAACAATGTAATAAGAACAGAAACAGACAATTTGCTTTCAAATGAGTAATACAACTACACTGAAAAGGGCCAGAGAAGGCTAACTCAAGAAAATTTTGAATAGTTTGACTACAGGGGAAAAAATCCTGAAAGTATAGAACTCTTAAAAAGCAGGGGTGTAGTTGGCTGGAATGTTTGTTTGTGTTGTTTTGTCAGTTTTCATGTGGTTTGTGTTTTCTTTCACTTAGCATATTGAAGACCACTTTTTGTGTGTCTGTAACCATTAACCTGAGGAGAATGGGAGCAGGTTGCTCTCTGTCAGAAATGAGAGGATAGTGAGCACGTGCTGCTGGGTTAGTGTGGTAGGAATCAGTACAAGTTTCTGGTTCAAGATGAGTAGCCATCAAATGTTTCTAGTAAAGAACCAGATAATGAAGACTGAACTCTGTTGTAGTAGACAAAAGTAGCCATAGACATTACTGGAATGCAAACTTGTGACAGTAATCTGATGAAGCAACATTTGTGGACACTGAATATTGAATTTCATATAATTTTCATATGCTGTGAAACATATCCATTTAACCAGTGAAAATATAAATGACTAAAATAAGTTTGCATACTAGATAAAAACAGACTGTGAAATAGACTTGGCCCATGGGCCATAGTTCACAACTTCTGGTTGACTAGCCAAATGATTAATTATAAATATAATGAAATGTTATTTTTTAATCTTAGTAAATGTTATACAAAACTTCTTTGTAATCCTTTGGTCATTTCTTTTTAAGTTTGAGATTACTTTTAACCACAAAATAAACAATTATATATTGTCCACACCTACAGTGGTAAAGGAATAACATCAAGTCGTTTGTCCAACATTCAAACAAGTTGAACTACCATTCATGCTGCCTGAATTTCCTAGACCAAAAGTAGGACGGACGGACGGACACACACACACACACACACACACACACACACACACACACACACACACACACACAGTGGAGAGTTCCTGGTCAGAAATGGGAAGAGGGTCTTCAAATAATACCATTCTTTTCCCCTGCTCACCTGTTTTTCAACATTGTTATTAAGAAACGAGGTCCCTGGGCTCATTTGACCTCATGAATTTCTGTAGTACAGGAATTTTTTGGTCTGCTATAATTAAATGGACTTAATAAATGTCCTGTTAGCTTAAATGTCTGTGACAAACCCTTTCTGATGTCCTTAATGTGTTACTATGAAATTCAATTACACAGCATGCTCACCTCGCTCATTTCGACAACCAAAATCTAGGGATAACTGTAAGTGATTGAAAGTCTCTTAAGAAATTCTAAGTGGGAACTGAGTAATTTTTACATTAAAATATCTGTATACTGAGATAATGAGTGGCTTGCAGAAGAGAACCATCTGCTGTGTAACCCAGTGAGCATTCTGCATCTCTTACTGGTTTAACTCCGGAAAGCCATGTCCCACCTTGGTTTGTCACAGTAGGTCAGGCCACAGCATGGGCTTCCTTGATCAGAGTGTCACAAGTGAAATTTACTGAGTAATAACTCTGTACCTAGACCCATGCCAAATGAGCTCGGTCTAAATCTGTAAGCAAAACGCAGAAACATTACCATCTTTCTCCTTCCTACAGGTCAAGCTGAGCAGCATTAAGTGATTTGGGCAATCTCTTACTGTAAGGAAAAAGGATCTGGTGCTGACCTGAGAGCTGGTACTGTTAGCTTCTGATTAGAACTGCTTCCCATTATAGATTAAAGAAAGTATGGAATACAGAAATTTAGAAAGAAAACATTGCCATAGAACTTAGAAGAAGGGGGTAAACAATATAGGGCACTAGTACCCGTGCAACAAATAGGATTGACATTGAATGATCCTGTGTGTTCCCCAGCCTGCCCCCTTCCACCTCAGCAGATCAGGAGCGGGTCTAGGGATGAGAATCATTTGACTCTTGCCTTCTAGACAGCACTATTTGAATTGTCCCTGCCTAGTTCTCTAGCGGGGTCGGGGGTGGGGGTAGCAGGGAATAGGAGACTATGAGAGAGGAGGAGGAAGAAGGGAAATATAAAGTTCTACACCAGATCCAAGGCTGGCTTGTGCTCACCTCATGTAGAGAACACTGTCATCCAGGACACATCACATGTGATTGTGTCGAACTTTCTCATCCAAGATCAGAAAGATCGTCATCTCTGCCGTATCTCTTCTGATTTGCTGACCTTGTCCGTTATGGGGGAAAGTGAACTACAGGTTGATGAAGTGCTTTAGTGGACTCTGGTGCTTGTCCCCTAGCCTGAGGACTTGAGGTTGATCCCGTGGCCCACAGAGGGGAAGAAGAGAATGACTCCTCAAGTTGTCCTTGGAACCCCACATGCACATCATACACCCACAAATAATTTTAAGTAAAAATACTATTTTCTTGGCAATAGTAACAAAATTTGAATCATTTTTATCTCTTTTATTTTTGAGATTATAGTGTAACTCATTTTCCCTTTCCTACCTACCGGCAAACCTTCCCATATACCTCTCTTTGCTCTCTTTAAAATGCATGGCCTCTTTTTTCATTAATTGTTGTTACATGCATATATATATATATATATATATTCCTAAGTATGACTATTTTATTTTTTTATTTTTAAATTTAAATTAGAAACAAGGTTGCTTCACATGTCAATTCCAGGTCCCTCTCCATTTCCCTCCCCTCCTCCTGCACCCTCCCACCAATCCCCTCAATATCCCCTCATTTCCCAGGCATCAGACTGGGATTCAAGAGCTAACCCTTGTCAGGTCAGCTGTCTCTGGGGGTTAAACCAGCCCAGTCTTAATCCCTTTGGTCATCAGTCCTCCCTCTTTGTCACTGGCTTTCTTGAGTTCATCTCAGTGCTTAGCCGTGGGTGTCTGCCTCTTCTTCCATCAGCCACTGAATGAAGGTTCTTTTTCCCAGACTCTCTGGCCATGGGATTGTAGGCTGGCACTCCCCGGTTCTATGTCTAAAATCCATATATGAGAGAGTACATGCCATGTTTCTCTTTTTGTGACTGGGTTACCTCACTCAGGATGGTTTCTTCTAGTGCCATCCACTAAATATGACTATTTAGTCTTTATAATGTTACTTGTATGTCTGTTTTCAGGGCTGACCATTTAGTATTGGATACCCAACTGATAAGAAGAGAAATGGTTACCATTTAGCTTGTGGATTTAATCCAGCATCTCATTGGTTAGGTGATCAACTCTTTATTAACCTGGTCACAAAACTGACTATTAGTTTCTCAACCTTTTTCTTACTGAAACAAGAGGGAAGATAGTGTTTCTTTGTAAAGCCAGGAGACGTGAAAACCAAGGGGAAGCTTCAAGTGCACACGTGAGGCTACAGCTGTATTTCTCACCTGCTTCCTTTTCCCCTTAGAGACTGGTTGACCATGCTGAGCCCACCAATTGTCCCTCCCAGTCAGCAGCCGGCAGAGCAGCCTCTAGAGTCCTCTGCAAGTGCAAGTGTGCAAGGTAAGAGTACCAGAAATGCTATGCATAAAAATACAAAGGTCATTTGCTACAGATAGAGAAAAAGCAGCCACTCTGAGACACTGCTGCTTTCATAGTGACTGTACAGACTTGCGCATCCAAACTAAGGTCACCTGTGCCTCATCTTGTATGCAGTCCGTTACTGAATAGATTGCAGAGAGGAATGGCTCTGTTCTGAAGGTTCGGCCCAGGGCAACATAGGGTTGAAGGCATCAGGAGTGTCTTTGATGCCTGCATCAGCACCATCTGATTTCCAGCTATAGCTCTTCCCACTGTGTGACCACTGTGACTTTAGTTGCCTGCTCTACAGTGCCTGCCCGGCCCCACATGCTAATTTGTTGTAAAGATTCAGTAAGGTATAATATTTGAAGCACTTAGAACAGTGACTGCCAAATACCAGCAGCTGGTATCACAGCAGTTCAGTCCATGCCTCTCAGAACACTAGGGTACGGTCGTGCATTGTGTAATGGTGTTTTGGTCAGGAGTAGACCTCACACATATGACACCGGCCTGAAAAAGTTATAGTGGAACTAGGAAATTCCTACTTCCTGGTGTCCTGTCATCACATCACGTCATCATCACACATCATAACAAGATACATTGCCTATGTATTTATGAGGTGCTAATATAAACAATGCACGGGATCACATGTGGTTAAAAATATAGCACGCATCATCACACACAGTACACAATGCATTACAATAAACTGTTACTGGCTCATGTACTTGCTGTACTATACTTTTAATCGTTATTTTAGAATGTTCTCCTGTCCACTAAAGTGTGTTTGCTATAAAACTGCATGCCATGCTATACCAGTAGCTTCATAATTCTTCTGTTTACTATTTACCAGTGCCGATGGGAGACACATCAAATGGCAGAGCCAAGCCATCTTGGCTTGCATAAATTAGTGCACTCTGTGACACTCATACAGCAGAATCACTGCATTTTTCTATATCACTGAATGACCCCATTGTGAAATGACTTTGCCTGTATGCATTTGCCTTAAATTAGAGATGCAGCGTCTCACTAAAGTGAGAGCATGACATACCTACAAACACTGCAGTCATTGTAGGACACTGGAATGAAAATCCCCTCTGTGACAGGGAAGTCATGAAGATGAGCCACTGGGTTTTAATTAGGAGCAGGCAGCCTGGATATCAGGAAGGGTTGGAAAAGGAACACTGGAGACTCTCCAGACTGGAGAAGAAAGTCATTTGTCAAGGTGCCTGTTTAGTATGCATCAAACCTAGCATGGGGACACGCACCTGTAATCATAGCGCAGACAGATCAGGAGTTAACAATTATCCTCAGCTAGTTCCAGGCTAGCCTGTATTATATAAGAATCTGTCTCAAAACTAGAAACAAACAAAAAGAATCTCTAGTGAAAACAGTGAGTAACGCAGCCAGGATGGAAGGGAACTCTAGTTCACTCAAGTGCAGAGTTGGAGTGACAGTTGACCTCCAATGAGACTCTCTGGAACAATTTTCTGAATTGAATTTTGAAGAGGGAAGAACACTACATCTAACTTTTTTTAAGTGAAACTAATATAAATCGCTCCAACAAAAGCGCCAGGCCCCCCTCTCCCAGCTGCCCCAGGAAAGAAGTAGAGCATCCGTTTTTCTTCAGGGGTAGAGAATTCAGTGTGAGAGCTCATATATCTGACTTGAACTTTCTGGCTGCCCAAGGGATGGAGATGTCTCTGTGATTTACTGCCTGAAATTGATTATGCCCCTCAAATTGGGAAACTTTTTAGAGGTGTACATTTATAATTACTTATGACAGAAAAATAGAATCTTGGCTGTCAGGGGGAGACCTTGCTGTGAGGGAACAAATAATATGTTATGTTAAGTGTCCAAAATAAACCACAGGAACCAGGAGCATGGTCCTTGAGCAAAGGCACTATATATATATATGTGTGTGTGTGTGTGTGTGTGTGTGTGTGTGTGTGTGTGTGTGTGTGTGTGTGCGCTTTATTTGTAGGCAGTGAGAACTCACTTCAAAAGAAATCTCGGTATACAAAAGAGGTCAGGGGAGAATGGGTGACTCAGAGTCCTACCCTGGGTCTCTGATGCAATCAGTAAACTGGTTAGGTTCAGCCCATTGTTCACCTCAACAGGTAACTAATTTGCCAAAAATCTATTTCCAGTCACAGCCCTTGCTAAAATGAGGCTTTTTCTACCTCAGTATCTTTCTGCTGAACCACTGTACAGTTTATAACTGTGTGTTTTGTTTTTTGTTTTTTGTTTCTTTAAGTTGGAACCAGAGAGAAAGGGAATCATACATCTTGACACTTCTGGGACAAAAATAACAGTTAATGAGTGATCTATCTTTTCATGTTCCAGTCCTTCATGTGTAGCCTCTAAAGTATGAGTACTGTTATCATTCCCATCTTGCATATAGTTCTCTCAGGCTGTGCAGCAATGCATTGGATCACCTCACCTCCTTCCCCAAAGGAGAAGCCAATATAGTTGGAGCAGCTTGAGGTAAACAGCCTGATGAACTGACTAACATGTAATTTTAGAAGACTTACCCAAGCCATACAAAGGAAATGCACAAACTACTTCTAGACCTGGGCCCCAAGATTCCTGCCTCTGCCTTATTCAGTAGGAGTCTATCCCAGCCAGTTTCTGCCCAGCCTGAACATCTCCAGTACACCTCCACCGTAAGTGAGCCATGCACCTGGCAAAACCGTGTTGTGCTCACAGAGTTCCGTTCTGATCGCTGCCATGGACTGAAGGACAACTGTCTGGCTCTTCATGATTCCTCCTAGACCATAATACATTTGTGGAATATCAATTACCACAAGCACAAGTGCCCTTAACACTTACTAAAAAAGTGTTCATTCGGAGCCTGTGTAAAATGTAAAATGGGAAGTGAAGATTTCAGAACTTACTCAAAAAAACTACTGAGCTGACCTTTTGAAAATGAACCTTACTTTGCTGGAAGAATGGTTGTCAATTTGTTTTTGACATTTGTTCCTTTACAGATATGACCCTTAAATTATTCATGCCTACCAGCTCCGACATGGAATAATAATCAGTCCTTTCTTCAGCCTGTAGACCTCGCCGCAATTCACAAAATTAGGAGGAACAAAGGCTTTCCAAGGAGTTTTTGGCATAGTCAGAGTCTCATAAAAATAACACTCCTGCATGTTCTTTACAGCAGTGTCACACAGGCCATTACTTTAAGAACAGTTATTGGTCTCCAAGATACAAATAGGCAGCAAATGCTTTTTTATGCAATATCCAAATTACTAGTAAAGAATTCACAGAATTCTCACCACTCCCTATAGCCAGACAGACAGAGGGGGGTATGTGGCTGCCTACTCCCCATCAACAGAATTATTCTTTCATAGTTCCTCTGTTTAGAGCTACATAATGACTTCACTTTAACAGTCTGGGTCTAAGAGGCCTGACTCACTGAGCATCAGTGGTACCTGGTGCCTACAGCAATGTCCAGGACATAGTGAACACTCCAAAAAGTTCTGCTAAGTAGATGAGTGTTTGGTCCATGGAAGACACAGGGAATTTTGAGCTAGCCTGTGGATTTTCTTAGGATTTATTTACAATTCAAAGCAGGTTACAGATGCAGTAGCTGGTGGCACACCTATAATCACAGCCCCAAGCCCAGTCTGTATAACAAAATACCTATCTTTTTTTCTTAAACCTTAATTGACTTTATTTTTCCAGAACCACAAATGTACTCTGTCTTGGGGGATGGAATGTTCTTTGTTTTTTATAAGTTCTTTGAGAATTGTATACAATGAGTTTGGGTCATAGTCACCCCCCACAACTCCTCCCAGATCCACCTCCCCACTTCCCTTCCCACCCAACTTTGTGTCTTTTTGTTTCACCAAGGCCAGTTTGTGCTGCCCAAATGTTCTTAGATGTGTGACCTTCCACTAGACGTAGTTGACTTGTCAGGGGCAACACTCCTTGAGAAAACTGGGAAACAAAGGAATCAGTGAGTTATGATAGAATCTTAATGAGGTAACTTCTGCTTTCCCTGAATGATGTAGAAATTTTCTGTAGGACATTATATCCTATATGACAGTGAGGTCAGAAGAGTAGCCTGTCTCACACACCCAAGTGTGAAGGAGCCCAGTGCCACAGGCCTGACCATGTGTAGCTTAACCCATTCTGTGGCACTACCACAGAATACCTGCTGAGGTTAGAAAAACCACACAAGTGACCGATTAAATCTAGTAAGGTCCTTCTGTGAGGCTTTCTGAATTCAATAGTTCTCTTCGTGGTTGTGGGAGTGGGGAAAGAGGTCATCCTTGGGTATTGTACCTCAGGAGTCATCTACCTTGTTTACTGAGACATGTTTTTCATCTTGCCAACTAGTCTAATGTGGCCATCAGGTCCAAGGGTCTTCCGACATTCCCCTTCCAAACACTGAGATGATGCGTTTTAGGGATCAACTTGAGTCTCCATGCTTACCAGGCAAGCATTTTGCCAGCTGAGCTGTCCCTCCATTTCTCAATAGCCCTCTTAGTACCCTATTTAGACCCCCAACTCAACTTCCAGCTTATGATTCATGGTTTTTCTACCACATTCTAAAAGGCAGTGTTCCTGTCCCTTCTCTGGGACAACCTATTGCTGTTTGTTCCCAACTTAAGCTTGAGGTAAAGAGATATCTTCTCTGAATCACTTTCAGGGCCCAGGGCTGTCTCCTCTGTAGCTCTCAGAGGTTCTGGTCCAGCAGCATGCTCACTACTGTAAAGAGGCGCCCTCCTCTCAGGAATACAAGTCTGCTCTTTAATAGAAACAAACACATTGCTGACTCTAAAGCTCTAGTCCTCTTCTGGAGCCATCCCTACTTAGGGAGAACCACATGCTCTCCAGAAAGGATTACAGCCCAGCATGGAAGTCCAGCTTCCCTTGCTGAGGAGAGAATGCACAGTTAGTTCAGGGCTGGCACCTGACCATAAGTCAAGCTTATGTGAAAGCTGTAGACTCTAGCTAAGATCTTCCCTAAC